CAGTCTGCATCAGCAGTAGGCCATGCATTCCCACCTGATGACGGACGCTTGTGTTGCGCCCGAAACGTCGTGATTTATTTTATGTTATACCTCCATGACTTTACTGAAAGAACCAAAGAGTAAGGTGGCCTGGTCTCAGCTGATAAAAGTTGCAAGCGAGAATTTCATCATCGCTTGCGGCTGGGGTTGGCATCATCCCCCACTCCTCCTGATGTCGAGGGTAAATGGGCAAGGTTTAAGACTGTGACTCATGCAGCTGCAATGGCTGCTTTGGGTACGTGGTCCAGACCTCCCCAGAGACTCTGGCTGACAGAGGAGGTGTTCAGGATGGTTGAGAAAAAGCGACAGGCCTACTCTAATCGTCTACAGCATCCCACGTCAGAGAATGAGAAGACTTACCGCACCCTTCGCTCGGAGGTTCGGAGAGCTGTGAGGCACTGCAAGGATGGGTGGTGGTCGTGGGTTGCTGAGAAAATGGAGTCTGCCCCAGTGGTCCGCAATCACAAATCTCTATTTAACTGCATCAAAAAGTAACCTGCAGCGCCACACCTATTGCCATCATTAGGGGAAAAAATGGTGATCCAATCTCCGACCCCCAGGAACAGATTTGCAGATTTGTGTGCATTTCTGTGAGGTCCTGGGGGAGGGGAAATCCCTCAGCCAGGAAAACATTGTGGCACAAAGTGGGGATGACCCTGCTGATGCTGCGGTGCCTCAAATATTGGAAGAAGTCACCCCCTGTGAGTGGCTGGCTGAGGTGCCATCTGTTGAGGAAGTACTGAAGGTGATCCAGAGTCTGAGACCAGGAAAGGCACCGGGCAGAGATGATGTCCCAAGCGAAATGCTGAGGGAGGGTGGCGTTTGTGCACAGAGTGCCCTACATGAAATCATAACAACAGTCTGGACCACTGGACAGGTTCTGCAGGATTGGAAGGATTCCCTGGTCGTCCCCCTCTTTAAGAAAGGGGATCGCACTGACTGTAACAACTATAGGGGCATCTCACTCGTCAGTGTGCCGGGAAAGGTCGTGGCAAGGATTATTAGACATCGCCTTGCTAGGCACGCTGGGGAGAGGCTTGCGGAACCCCAATGTGGTTTCAAGAAAGAGCGGTCTTGCACAGATGCCATATCTTCTGTCCGTTTGCCACAGCAGAGGTGTAGAAAATTCGAACAAGACCGACATCTCTGCTTTATTGACCTGGTCAAGGACTATGATACCATCAGTTGGCCTGGGCTCTGGGTTGTTCTTCGTGCTTTCCGAGTCCCTGACCTGCTCATGATCATTAAGGACCTTCATGATGGTGAGCGGGCCCGGGTAAAACTACGTGGCCGGAAGTCAGAGACATTCCCTGTACAACTTGGGGTACAACAGGGATGCCCTCTGGCTCCCACATTATTTCACATCTATTTTGACCACGTAGTTCGTGAAGCCTTCAATAGCTGTACCAGTGGAATTTCCATTTGGTACAGATATAATGGGAACCTGATCGATACGCGGGTGCGGTGAAGGGATGGCTCCGTATTGGTCAACCACGTTACGTATGCCGATGATTTGGAAATTGCTGCTCACACAGAGGACGAGTTGGAGGTGCTGCTGCTGAACCTTTAGCTTGCCACTAAGAGGTGGGGCCTTGCCATCAGCCCCACCAAAACTAAGCACCTGCCTGGGTCTTTTGTACCATCGGACACTCCACCCCCAAAACTCCCAATTGGTGATGGGCCGGTTGTGGAGAGAGCGGAGAGTTTGCCATACCTGGCCAGTGTGCTTGTGACCGGCTCCTGTTTAACAGCAGAGGTCTCACTCCAAATCAGTCCAGCGGCATTGTCTTTTCATTGGTTGCGTAACGCTGTGTGCAAGCTACCTGGTCTTTCACTCCGCACGAAGTTTCAGGTCTTCTCAGCCACAGTCATTCCCTCCCTTCTACGCATGCGAAACGTGAACCCCCCTACTGGAACATCTTCACCGGTTCAAACATTTAGGCTGGCCTGCCTACGATACATCCTGGGTCTAACCACGCTGGATTGTGTGAGGAGCTCACAAATCCTCTAAAGATCTGGACAAAGTTCCATCAGGGAGCAGCTCTGGCAGGCAAGGCTGCGTTGGCTGGGCCATGTAGCCCGCATGCCCAGCAACTGCATGCCTAAACGGCTTTTGTTCGGCCAGATTGTGGGGGCTAAACGGGTGCAGCACGAGCTACAGAAGACATGGCGTAATGTGCTGCAGGAGGATGTGCAGCTGAGTGGACTTGGCGATGACTGGTACCAGTAGTCTCAAGATCGGCCTCTGTGGAGGAGGCTCGTGAAGGACGCTACTGTCCAGTTGGAGGCAGTCGTCCTCCACCAACAACGGGGGGCGGAGGAGCGACGCTTACAACAACGAGCGGAGCGCCAGGTGGCTAAAGCACAGCAAGTTGGCATAGTTGGGGGCACAGTTGGTGCATCAGCCATTCGTCTCAGTCAGTCGACCTGTCGCATCTGCCTTTGCCCCTGTCACCTCCTGCCAGCGGCCATTCGAGACTTCACGTGTCCTCAAGGCGCACATAGCCTGCCACAAGCGTCATGGTGACGTCAACGCCACTTAGTGCTGAATGGCGGTTCTTGTTGTTGTATAGTATTGTGTGATATTTTTTTACACTTTTCATTAGTTTTCTATCTGCATGACTTTACCGAAAGACACTATCAATGTACATTAATAATTCTAGATTTGAGGTTTTTGTGACTGCAAGGATCCATACTCTTTGTGTTTTTTTGGTAAAGTCACGTAGGTAAAAAATAAAATAAATTAATAAAAAATAAAACAACTAAATTAAATCACGACGTTTCGGAAGCAACACAATCCTCCGTCTCCAGGTGGAACACGCCACAGCAAAATAACTGTAGTGAATAAAGAGAGTCGTTTAGAGACAGGTGATTTTTGGAGTAAGTGAAGGGGGAGGAGCCAAGGAGTCGGGGGGGAGGGGGGGTGGGGGCAGGGTATTAGCTGATTAACAGATAAGATCAGGGTAAGTGTAAGAGAAATGTGAAGCAACCGGAGCAGACCGACCATTGGGATGTGGCTACTATAGAGGCTCCTGGGCATAATGCTCTTGGGGGGAGGGCTATTTCTCCTAACGTGGAGAAACAACCCCCTGAGACTCCCGTCAAAATCATTACGTTGCCATACATAGCAGGCGTTACCAAAAAGATTTCTAAAATCCTAAACAAACACAAGATCCAGGTCCGATTTAGTACAGTACACAATCCGTGATCTGATCCTATCCGTAAAGGATGTCATTCCTGTCTACAAACTGAGTTGCACCTGTGGTGATTGTTATATCGGGGAAACGAAACGACATATTTCTGACCGCATTCGTGAGTACAAGTCAGATTTAAAACACGGTAGGACGAATTCTTTGGCCGTAGCTGACCACTGTTATAACACTGCAGGTTCTCATGATATTGTGTTCTCCGATACCAAAGTACTCTGCAAGCCTCCTGGATACTATCAAAGATTTGTCCATGAAGCCATCTAGATACACAAACATAGACATAACTTAAACTGAGAAGATGGTTTCAAATTGAGCAATCATTGGAAGGATGTAATTAGCCAAGTTAAACTTTAGCTGCTTTATAGTTTTACAGTCATGTCCATATTGCCATTCTTTTACTCCTAGCTTTATACACTACCATCACTCAGAAATTTGACGTCCAGTGTTTTAATAGTGCCCCAATACTCACCCCTCCCCCCCCCCCCCATAGCATTATGCGCAGGAGCATTATGCCCAGGAGCCTCTATAGTATCCGCATCCCAATGCTCAGTCCGCCCTGGCTGCTTCACATTTATCTTACACTTACCCTGATTTTATCTGTTAATCAGCTAATCCCCCGCCCCCACCCCCCCTCCCCCCCCCCCAACTCCTTGGCTCCTCCCCCTTCGGTTACCCCATATAATCACGTGTCTCTAAACAGCTCTTTATTCACTATAGTAATTTTGCTGTGCCGTGTTCCACCTGAAGACAGAGGCTTGTGTTGCTTCCAAAATGTCGTGATTTAATTTAGTTGTTTTCGTTTTTAATTAATTAATTTGTATTTTTACCTACGTGACTTTACCGAAAAAACCAAAGAGTATACATTAATAATGTTTGTGTTCAGACAAATAATTTTTGTATTCCATGCTTCTTTCACTCAACTATTGTACACAGAAACCTGGTATTTTATTCATCACCTTCAAAATATTCTAATTATTTCGTTTGTGTGCTCACAACTATTATTTGATTATTAACTTGCTCTGCATTATTTTTCTTTGGTGTCAAATCACCTTCATAGAAACCCATTTTTTCAATTATCACCTTGCTAATATTACAATCATAATGTTTGTGTGCGGACAAATAATATTTCTGTCCCTTGCTTCTTCCACTAAACTCATATACATAGACAGTGTGTGTAAGTCGATGTGTGTGTCTGTCTTCTTCGCCCGGGCAACGCCGGGTACTTACCACTAGTATATTTATATGAGTGGTCCCATGGCTTCTCGTACAGAAGGCCATGTCTGTGTCGAGGTTTGTACCATAAGGCCATGCGTGTACACAGGGCTGTGGTGCTCAGGCCATATGTGTACGCAGGGCTGTGTGCTCAGCCATCCATGTAAAGAGGGGCTGTGTGCTCAGGCCAATGCGTGTACACAGGGCTGTGTGCTCAGGCCATGTGTTTACACAGGGCTGTGTGCTCAGGCCATGTGTGTACACAGGACTGCGTGCTCAGGCCATGTGTGTACACAGGACTGCTCAGGCCATGTGTGTACACAGGACTGTGTGCTCAGGCCATTCGTGTACACAGGGCTGTGTGCTCAGGCCATGCGTGTACACAGGGCTGTGTGCTCAGGCCATGCGTGTACACAGGACTGCTCAGGCCATGTGTGTACACAGGGCTGTGTGCTCAGGCCATGTGTGTACACAGGGCCCTGCACACACAGGCTGCAGATGCACACGCTGCATGTAGAGGGTAGAGGCTCTTGTACGAACCTGTAGCCATGGCTCCACGTGCTCAGCTTGCGGCGTCGCCGTCAACGGTGAAACCGTTCCCTCCTTACAGCGCTGTGAAGATAGAGAGGGAGCTCAGTGAGGGAGGAACAGCTGTAGGAACAGAGAGGGAGCTCGGTGAGTGGGGGAACAGAGAGGGGGGACAGCTGTGGGAACAGACAAGGGGGATCAGTGAGGGAGGGGAAACAGTGAAGGGGAGCTCGGTGAGGGAGGGGGAGGAAGAGATGTGGAAAAACGTTCCCATCACGATGGTAATTTACGTCACGAGTTACTGGTCGAGTTACTGGCATCCTGAGTTTGGGAAGTTTCAAAGCATGTAATATCAGTAAATGACCGAAAATACTCAGTAACAGGAATGAATTTGGATCCCTTGGTACTAGCGGATAACTGGGATGTAGAGAACATAAAAAAGGGCAAAGGGAGTTGAACAGCAACAATTAAATCAATTTATTTTATACCTACGTGACTTTACCGAAAGAACCAAAGAGTCTAAATCATTTATGCGTTAAATAATGAAATAATTCGTGCCCAATGGCGGAATGACAAACATTAAGATACGCTTATTCACAATTTCAGTGAGCTGTGGATCACAATAAAATAAAACAAGTAGAGCCGTGGTGCAATGGTGTGCAGGCTGTGCTATGCACCTGGTAACCTGTGCTCGATTCCCAACCATGGCTAACTTCAGTGCTGAGTGATATCTAAATCAGTCCTGAACCTGCACACGTAACCAATCACAACTGATATAAATGGTGAAGTATGGTCAAACATTCCTCATGAACTACATGGCATGGGAAAGGCTTCATCCAGAAGTAGATTGAAAAAGGCCGTTAATTATTGTTTAATGAAATAAAGATGCAGAGGGTTTCGTGGGCGAAATGAGAGAACATCTAATGCAATAATCAGTGGGCCCATCACGACAACTTCATCTCCATGGAATTCACTTAGACAAGGCCAGCCCTGCCAGGGTTCGCCTCCACTGAGTCCCATCAGCAGGGTGTGGCCAATAAACAAACGCCATTGGGTAACCTGGTGGAGAGCCATCCACCATCACCACGGGGCTGCAGTGAAATGTAGCGAAGCAGCAGCTATGGCTGTGCTGTGCCCTGGCGAGTCGCAGGCGATGATGCGACTGAAGCAGTTAGCAGGTGCCTTGGGAATAGCAGGTGCCAATCCCATTTCCAGTTAATCATATCCTACAATCACTACCTGACCTCTTTACAATCAACTACAGACCATATAGGGAAGGACAAACGTCCAGTTTCAGTTTCATATATTTGGTATAGCCCTGTGAGCCATTCGGCTCTTGAATCAGGTGCAAACGCAACAAACAAAAACATGAACAAGAAAACATCTTAAAGTGACTATGCGCAAACAGAAAAATCCAGGAAAAAACAGCAAAATCTTCCAGAAAAAGTACAGTACACCAACGCTATGTGCAAAAATCCCAGTGGGATGCAAGTCAAACAACAACAACCACAAGACAACTTAGATTAAAACCTTCAGTCTAACTCCGTACTACAACAAACAAACATGGCCAAACCAAAAGACGTTTTCGAAATCACCAAAATAAAGCCATAAATGCAATGTAACAGTGATCATAGGAACTGTGACCAAAATTTCATAATAAACGACATAAACAACTTGTACCACCAAACCCTGTATCCATAGCTGGCTGCATGAGTCACTCCACAACAGCAGGAGCATCAGTAGGAGTATCAAAACATTTCAATGCACCTTTAAAGATCAGCACAAGATCTTACTTTGCAGCGGTCATCCGGAGCGATACATTTGATTTCAGGCCACTGAATAGCAGTGGCAGCTAGGGTTGTACAACTCCTCTAGAGCAGTTTTGATTGAAGATCTCGCAAGTAGTGATCCAAGTTGCAGTTTATTGCCGATAGCATTCAAGACCCTGGGGGCATCAATAGCAAAGGCCCTTCCTCCAGTATTTGTACGGCAATAAGGAATGTGAAGCTGGTAAATGAGTGAAGACCTTAGGTCACATTTGTTCTTCTAAACAGTGAGGAGATCCAGCAGGTAGTCTGCGGATTTTTTTTGTAAATACATCGAGAAGAAATAAGATCTGATGCACAAGTCGTCGATCATTAAGAGATGTTAATTTTGACCCAATTTAGAGATCACAGTGGTGGGTCCTATATGGGCAGTTCAATGCTAATCTTAAGGCCGAGTGATAAATTGAGTCAAGCTTCATCAGTACAGTACTGGGGGCTGATTTATATACGATGTCACAGTAATCAAGTAGAGGCAGTATGGTAGCTTTTATCAATTCCAAACGGAACATAGGGGGGAGCAGTGCTTGTGTCGATAGAGAAAACCAATTTTTGTCTTTTTACCAATATAATCAATGTGATCTTCAAAACTAAGTTTTGAATCAAGGATGACCCCAAGATACTTATAGATCTTGACTTGCTCTATTTGATAATTCTTTAAGGAATGTAATTGGGGAAAAATAACTTCCTACTTTAGTCCTGGTGAGAAGCATAGCACCTTGGTTTTGGAGGTATTCAGGACTAGTTGAAGAGCAACTAGCTGATGTTATCGTTTGTTGAAATCACCCTGGCGCTTAGCAATCACGTTATGCGGAGAGCAGCCAGCAGTAATCAGTATCGTGTCATCTGCAAAAAGATTTACCCTGGAATGATCCAGATCAGTGCCCAAGTCATTGAGATAAAGAGATTACAAGAGGGGGTCGAGGATGGAACCCTGTGGAACCCCATTTGTTATCTTAACACTGTTTGACCTCCACCATCTGTGAATACAGTTTGGGTGCGAGAAGAGAGGTACTTTTTTAACCATTATACTGCGTGTTTGGAGAAACGGAGGCAATTTAGTTTACTAAGCAGGGTGTTGTGGTCCACTGTATCAAAGGCTTTGGACAAGTCAAGAAAAAGACAGGCGCAGTACTGCTTATTATCAAGGCAACTGTAAATGTGATTCAGAGAGTCTAATGCAGCAGATGTGGTGCTGTATTTTTTTCAAAACCCAGATTGGTTTCGATGTAATAGATTGTTGTCGGACAGGAAACTGCTAATTTGGTAGTTCAATAATTTTTCAAAAATGTCATCAACGGGGACAAAATTGAGATAGGTCGGTAGTTATTGGGATCATCTTTAGGGCCCCCTTTGTGAAGTGGACAAACATAGGAATGTTTACATTCTAGAGGTACTGATGCTTCTTTGATGGACAGGTTGAAAATATGGGCTAGAGGTTTGTATATTAGGTGACCAACAGTTAGCAGAGCAAATATGGGAATACTATCTGCTCCGGTAGAGGAGGACCCTTTGAGGTACATAGGACAGTTGATTTCAGAACATTACTTTCGTGGATTTGTTGGAAACTAAATTCATTTAATGTTTGGACAGGGGTGTAGGAATTTGCATGAACAGGGCTGACTCGCAATACATTATCAAAAAGGTTACCAGAAAAATTAAGGTTAAAATTGTCAACTATTTTTTTGGCTCTAAAAATATTGTCCCCATTTCGGTTAAGCTCAACGGGCATATTATCTGTTTTGGATGCCTTTTCGATACATTTGATTGTTTTCTAGAAGATCCTGGCATTTCCATGTGATTCCAGGAGAGTGGAGGAAAAGTAGCCATTTTTTGCATGCCGTATTTTTTTACGCATCTATTCCTTAAAATCCTGTATTCTAGCCAGTCGTTGACCAAATTACTTTTCTGAGCACATGCCTAAGCCTTGTCCCTAGTTTTCATGAGCTTAGTAATCAAAGGATCAAAGCATGGTGGGCGGTTGCCTTTAGTTTTTAATCTAACCAACGGAGCATGTTTGTTAAGAATTTGGAGAAACGTGTACCTGAAGGTCTCCCAAGCCTTGGTCAGGTTGGGGATATCACAGACCTTGTCAATATCCGAGTGAAGCACATCATTAGTAAATGCTTGAGTGCTGAAGTGTCTCATGGAGTGCTTCTCAACCATTTTAGGGGGGCTTTGGGTCTGGCTGATAATCTCACCCAAAATATGAAGGAGTCATCAAGGTTATTACCCAGAACACCAGTCAGTGTGAAATTGTGAGGGGCATTTGTCAATAGGACGTCAAACAGAGATGACTGTCCCGGATTTTTTAGGTTGGGTTATTTATTAAAATAGGTTAAATTCATCTGCAAAATGTGTGGCCACGGCTGGCGGTTTTAGCCACTTCCATTTTAAATCACCCACTAAAACTATTTCACCTTTAGGGAGGCCCCCAAGAAGCTCTCTCAGTGCAGACGCAGCTTCAACATCCTTACCACTAGGCGGTCTATAGCAGGACACTACCAATATCTGTTGATTATTTGGGAGAGTTATTCTGAGAGCCAGACCTTCAAAGCAACATTTTTTTTAACAAGGAGTGAGCTGGTGAACATGCAATAGTATTACGAACATAGATGGCAATTCCACCTCCTTTAGACCCTCGGTCAAGCCGAAAAAAGGTTGTAGTTTTCAATCGTAATCTGCAAATCTTACTTCAGGAGTGAGAAATGTTTCTGTTAGGCATAAAATGTCCGGGTCCAGATTTGCCACTTCCAGTTTTAGTTGACTTAATTTAATCACGAGCCCTCTGATGTTGACATGAAGAACACCAACACCTTTTCTGCCAGAAAAATCTACAGAATTATACGAGTTTTTTTTACATTTGGGCCAGGATGAAGCTCAATACCTCCCAGAAATAAGAAGAGTAATAATAATAGTTTGCACAGGTATTTTCTGTGAAAGGATGAAGAGCGGCGAACCTTGGACGAATAGCAGCGATATTTTTAAGATGGCGATATTTTTAAGAGCAGAATGAAGTTTGGAAGTAGTGCTGGTGAAGTAATGGGACAGAGAAAGGGTTTAAAAGGATACAATGATGGAGTGTTGAAGTGTCTATAAGCTGTTTCCTTAACAGGTGTAGTGGCATATTGAGCAACAAGAATGGACAAGATGTAACGAGGGTAGCCGGTGGTAGAGTTGAGTGTGACACTAGATATGGCCGGGAGGGATATCAGTAGGGTAGATAGCAGGAGAATTGCCATCTTTAAAATATCAAGGGTACACAGAGTTTAACACACAAGCAAAAAAAAACACTTGTAGGCCGAGCGCGAGAAATGTATTGCCACACTCATCACACATGCACGGCTTCTCGCCCGTGTGCTTGAGTTTATGCAGATGAGCACCGCCCTCAATGTGACATCAGAGCAAGAGATCACTATTGATCATAGCATTGGAGGTGACGCGGAAGAGGGTGGAACGCTCATTGGCAGCCTTCAGCTTCTCGCTGCACTCGGGCGGCAGCTGAAGGGTTTCCAGGTCGTTGAGCAAGCGCTGGAGGGCGGCTCCATACTTGCCGATCAGGTCGTTGCATGTGCTCATATCCTCGAGCTTGGAGGACAGCGAGAGGAGCGTGGTCTGTAGTTCCGTCTTGTCGGCCTATGTGCCTGATTTCTCATCACCCGAGTCATATGCTTGCAGCACGCTTGTAGAGCCAGCCCTCCTTCACCACTGTCACCTCCGCCATGGCGTCGTAGTCCCTCTGCTGTGGCTCTCTTGGTCTGCTCAAGCACTCCGTCGCAGACTCTCCGTGCATTTCACACGAGCATGAGTGACGCTTCACTCCTCACCACCACAACCACAGCGGTCCGACGGGGGCCTGGGTGCTGCTTCCTGTGACTTCGGGAGACAAAGGCGGCTTGGCCTGGTGGTACCCACACACCTCCTCTGCCATGCCAGCCCCCATTTATGTTGCTCGGGAACAGCACTTTCCCCAAAAGTACGTTAAGGCTAAATGGGGGACGTCGTCTGAGCGTGTTTGTGTGTCAGTCAACCCGTGGCAACTGGGTCGTGCACATAGCCTGGCACAAGCGTCGTGGTGACATCACCGCCACTTAGTGGCGAATGGCGGTTGTTGTGTGTGGGTGTGTGTGAGTGTTGAGTTTAATATCTGCGCAGTTTTAAACGTCCCGGGAGGCCTGCCTACGACCCGTCCTGGGTGTCACCAGGCCGTCTCGTGTGAGCAGTTCACAGACCTACGTTGAACTTCTGTTTCTTCCCTGTGAGTTCGCGTTGCATTGTAGCCATGCCAGCTGCCCCGGGGAGCACCAGGACCGGTGCGCAGTTACAGGTAATCGAGCGGCGCCGCTGGTGTTGAGTTCCGACCACACTCACCGCGCCACAGCTGGTTGCTCCCTCACGGGTGAACGCTCCGTCAGGAATTTACCAAACATCTCCAGCAGGAACCTCGTTACACGAGTTGTGTCTCTTTGATTGTGTCTTGAATACGAGACAATCACCATAACACGTAACTACACCCCTAGACACACAACCATTGTATATTATTGAACGTATAACATCCGTAGTGAAATCCACCCAATGACAACACTGTGGCGTGTCGCACTGCACGGAGCAAGCCCCTCAGAGTGTCTGCAGGCAGCGCGAGACGGGGTCCGGGTTGGGGATGACCCCGGCCTGAGCATCGTCAGCCCCGCAGTATCAGAGGCCGCGGTTCGATTCCTGCACTGCTCGTTTGTTTGTGTCAGGAACGACCGAATCACGCGGTCGGCTCTCGCGTGGACCTTGAAGACCCAGCCCTGACCCCATTCGAGAGAGAAAACTACTTCGTGTTGGCATCACAGCACTCCTGTGGGTATTACTGAGATCTCGTCTAAATCACCACACTTGTACAACAGCCCCTATACCCAACTACAGACACCCTCAGGTCTCTCTTACTAAAGAGAACAAGAGTCTCACTGGTTAAATAAAGGCCACAAGATCAACAATCGCGACACAGATGTTTTACTGAGTCGGCACTGTCAGCAGTTTTGACCACCTATGAGCTAGATCCCCGTGTTAATGAAAAATCTGAGAGACATCTCCCTGGTGATTTGTCCGATCGTTGGCGACGGAGAGAGAAGCGAGAGGACGAGGCGCGTTCTCTAGCACGGGAGTGAGCATGGAGCCCGGCCAGAGCGAGCCGCCCCCCTGTGGCGCGGAGACGAAGCCCCTCGCAACCACGCTGCTGCCGCTCTACACAGGCGCTGCTGCTGCTGCCGCTCTACACAGGCGCTGCTGCTGCCGCTCTACACAGGCGCTGCTGCTGCCGCTCTACACAGAGGCTGCTGCTGCTCTACACAGCAGCAGCAGCACCCAGCGAGGAGGGGCTGGAGACCGCCCTGGCTCGGGGTCACTTCACAAGAACCCCTTCCCTGTGTCTGCTGCTCGCACACCGCTGAGTCGCCGTGGTGGTGGTGGCACAGATGGCAGTGAGCGCGCGGTGCTGGCACGAGAAGCACTGAGCAGTGGATAGGTGGGACTTGCACTTCCACGGGGTCCCAGTCAGGATCAGGGTTACATACTGTAGTGTGGTTCTACATTGAGTAAGGCGACTTAGAGATGAAGATACGGAGACGGGGTTAGACACACAGGGTGAGAGATGGCGTGATGGTCAGGGTTAGAGACAGATTTAGGGTAAGAGATGGCGTGATGGTCAGGGTTAGACAGAGTAAGGGTGAGAGATAGTTTGCTGGTCAGGGATAGAGACAGAGTTAGGGTGAGAGATGGTGTGATGGTCAGGGTTAGACAGAATTAGGATGAGAAATGGCGTGATGGTCAGGGTTAGAGACAGATTTAGGGTGAGAGATGGTGTGATGGTCAGGGTTAGACAGAGTTAGGGTGAGAGATGGCGTGATGGTCAGGGATAGAGACAGAGTTAGGGTGAGAGATGGTGTGATGGTCAGGGTTAGAGACAGATTTAGGGTGAGAGATGGCGTGATGGTCAGGCTTAGACAGAGTTAGGGTGAGAAATGGCGTGATGGTCAGGGTTAGAGACAGAGTTAGGGTGAGAGATGGTGTGATGGTCAGGGTTAGAGACAGATTTAGGGTGAGAAATGGCGTGATGGTCAGGGTTAGACAGAGTTAGGGTGAGAGATAGTGTGATGGTCAGGGATAGAGACAGAGTTAGGGTGAGAGATGGTGTGATGGTCAGGGTTAGAGACAGAGTTAGGGTGAGAGATGGTGTGATGGTCAGGGTTAGACAGAGTTAGGGTGAGAGATGGCGTGATGGTCAGGGATAGAGACAGAGTTAGGGTGAGAGATGGTGTGATGGTCAGGGTTAGAGACAGATTTAGGGTGAGAGATGGCGTGATGGTCAGGCTTAGACAGAGTTAGGGTGAGAAATGGCGTGATGGTCAGGGTTAGAGACAGAGTTAGGGTGAGAGATGGCGTGATGGTCAGGGTTAGACAGAGTTAGGGTGAGAGATGGCGTGATGGTCAGGGATAGAGACAGAGTTAGGGTGAGAGATGGTGTGATGGTCAGGGTTAGAGACAGATTTAGGGTGAGAGATGGCATGATGGTCAGGGTTAGACAGAGTTAGGATAAGAGATGGCGTGATGGTCAGGGTTAGAGACTGAGTTAGGGTGAGAGATGGCGTGATGGTCAGGGTTAGAGACAGAGTTAGGGTGAGAGATGGCGTGATGGTCAGGGTTAGAGACAGAGTTGGGGTTATACTGAGTTAGGGTTTGATACGAGTCAGGGTTGTGTGTACAGTAGTTTGAGCCACCAAACACAAACGTTTACATCTCCGGACACAGTATTAAACTTCCTTTAAACTATATATATTCTTAGCTCTTTCGGTAAAGTCACGTTGAAGGGAAAAAATAAAATATATATAAACAATAAATATATATTTTATTATTTTATTGTTTCCCTTCAACGTGACTTTACCGACAGAGCTAAGAATATGAATTACTGCAGTCACGAAAGCTTTAAACCAAAAATTCCTTAAAACTAATCATGCACTGCCCCAGCTCGCCCTGCTCTCTGAGCCCTCCCGTCTCTCACCTGGCTTCAGTGTTGACTTCGACATCACCACGAGAATAACGAGCGCGTAATCACCGATATGAGGCTGTTATAGAGGTACTAGTTGTGAGAGAGAGGTACTAGTTGTGTGAGATGCATTACCTTCCCGATGTCAACGCTAAGATTGCGAGTGGAGCTCTTCCTGCCCCAACGATTCAGGCGCAGATCTCAAAAACGCGCAGCGCACAAGCGGCCACCGGGTTTGACGATTCGGTCAACCCCGACCTGGGACTACTCAGAGCTCTCTCACCTCTCTCAGCAGCAGTGGCGGCTCCTGCTGCTCCTGTCCCGGCCTCTGCAAGCGACGCAGCGATGAGCTCAGTGCGGGCGACTCTCTCCTGAGCTCTGGCTCGCTCTCCGCTTCTCGCCTCGCCTCCTCCTCACCAGCTCCTCACCGCTGAGTGAGCGTCTCTCGCCCAGTGATGCGGGGAGGTGCGAGTGGGGCTGGGAGTTTCCCTTCGCTTGGCTCCCTGCCAGGGGCTTTCCAGGCTGGGACGCGGGGCGGGGGCAGCACCCGGGCTGGCGACGCGCTCTGGTGGTGTTTTTGCGGTGAAGGCCATCATTGCCCAGCATTTTTTTTAATATAAGGGAGCGTTAATGGCCAATATGTTGGATGTGATAGTGTGTGGTGTATGGTGTGTTTGGTGTGAAGTGATGGGTGTGTTTACACTGTGTGGTACATGGTGTGTGTAGTGTGGTGTGATGATGGCTGTGTTTATACTGTGGTGTTATGGTGTGTGTAGTGTGGAGTGATGCTGGGTGTGTTTACACCGTGTGGTGTATGGTACATGGTGTGTGTAGTGTAGAGTGATGATGGCTATGTTAACACTGCACAGTGCATGATATTTTAGCAGCAGTTACATGTTTGTACAGAGATGACATCGACGCTCATTAGGGATCATCCAGTGTAAGGGTTGTGAGTGCATTTAATAACTTCTCAAATTTTCAAATAATTACTTTTACCTTGGAATTGGTAAATGTCTTTAGAGATGCATTTTTTTTAAATAACAAATACGGTAATGTGCAGCTCAAGTTTGTGTGGATCACACTTCGGGTTCCCTGTTACTGAGTTTGCTTCGGTAAATTACAAACAAATAGATTTGAAGCTTTCATAACTGAAGGAATCCATACTCTTTGGTTCTTTCGGTAAAGTCACCGAAAGAAGCAAAGAGTAAAATAATGCAGTCACGTTTTTATTCACGTTTTGAACTGGTTCCCTGTTGATGTAACATATGGAGCAAGTACCGATACACGCTGTTTGCATCACGACCTGTGTCTGCGTACCCGTAATTGTGTAGCTAACAATTGTGCCGCATTGGGACGCTCTCAGAGTTGAGAGAGGCAAACTAAGACAAGTCAAAGTTGACGACTTCATCTGTCTCTCGTCTGAAGAAGCACGGTGTGGCGCTCATCTTCATTGGTGGCTCTGAGTCAGCAGTGGAAATTCGTGAACCCGTTCAACACAGAGGCTAGGTGCCCACTGGCACGCTCACTTTGCTGACCCGCCCATACTGGACATCTGTGAGATAGAGCTTCAAAGCTCATCAGATTCCTCCATTCTAAATAAATACAGATTCTGATTCTGACTTTACAACACCACGACTGGTGTGAGGGTCAAAGTAACGCGTTCCGCACAGTGCCCGGATACGGAACCCAAGCACGCAGGTAAAGTTCGGGGCTTTCCGACAGTGGCGGTGTTGTTCGCTCGCGGGTTCCTGAGACGCTCGGCACACAGAGCCGCCCCGCAGCCCAACCACACCCAGCACCGTGCTTGTGGGCATGGTCCTTGTGGGGATAGTCCCTGTGTACCTGTGTACAGGTGTGTGGGTACAGATACACAGTGAAGCTGCATGATCTCCCTTATGTACTTGTGTACAGGTGTGTGGGTACAGATACACAGTGTAGCTGCATGGTCTCGTTTGTGTACAGATTTGTAGGTACAGACACAATGAGTACGTGGTATGGGGTGTAAAAACATAGCTGCTCGAGAAACAAAGGTGGCCAGGCGTGGTGCCTGATCGGAGAATTTCTCGAAATTGTTTGTAGTCTCTTATCAGCAGATATGTTACGATGGAGACTGACTACCACTCTAGGAATGTGGAATTTCCACTGCGGGCTCATGGCCACAAATGAAAATCATTGCCACCGCAGTGCTCGAATATAGAGGCGCTTTGGCTTTTTGGTCTTGAGAGTTTCAACTGAATACCTTGGTGACTGATGGCGAATCTCGCTGCCTATCCAGCTATGGAAGCGCTTATAAGCAGTTGCTTTTGTATGCTTGCCCCTTCTTTTCTCTCCGCCTGATGAAGACCGCTTGTGTTGTGATCGAAACGTCGTGGGTTTTTTGCTTTTATTTTTAATGTATTTTATTTATCTTATTTATCTACGTGACTTTACCGAAAGAACCAAGAATATGTTTATAATCTTCATTCATTCTTTAATGTTCAAGCATGTAAAAATCATGCACTCTGTGATGTGTGCACAATGATATGAGTGAATCACCTTGCAGGAGAAACTATAATTGTGACTTATTCATGCACGATATCTACACGAAGCCGTATTACCCTTTTCAGGAGGTTCCTGCATTTGGTTTTAATTGTAAGATATGTAGGAAATTAACGATGAGTGTTTATACAAGTGCTAGACGCACGAGGGGACAACACTCTATCCCCGTACAGATATAAACAGATGTAAACAGATGGCGGTTAATCCACTTGCTGTAACGCCTTCTCCTGGCGAGTCAGGGTATGGCACCTCGACGCCCACGGGAAAGGAGTTTCACAACACTTACTTGATCCACCAACCCTTGCCTCCCCAGTGCTGGATTATAGGCTGTCTAACTAAGATGTCCATCATCACCATGACAAGAGACAGCTACATGACAGTACTGCATCTTCCGTAAGTATTTGTCATGCACTTTCATAATTGTGGCAAATTTAAATATGGAGTTATATTTTCACGTATCAGAATTTGCGGTCAATTGAAAACGTTGATGAATGAAAACAGCCCAAGAATGATTTTAACTCAACAGCGAACCATGATGCAGTCTTAGAGTCGCCACATCGCAGGACTCTGCCACACCTCCACTCCCGGGACTGAGCCGTTTTGAAGACTAAACCTGAAATCAACCTCAAGTTAATATTGCGTGACTGTGGTGGTATCACATCGAACCATTGGGTGACGCTGTGGTACAATAGTCAGTGCACTTCACGAGTAACCCATTAGCCTGAGTGCAATGCCAATCGACGGCTAAAATCAATGGCGTTGTGATATCTGAACGAGTCCTAGGTGTCTCCTTCACAACCAGCACTGGCCAGCGTGATGAAGTATAATCAACCTCCCTAATAGGCATGCCTATACAAGCCACCATACTTCAATATGGATTGCCGTTGCTACGGCTATTTTAATACACACAATGGACAGGAAGGACAATATCAAAGGGCTCACATAATGCGCATGCATAATATGCGTTGCCCCAGTCATCCCAACCCCCCACACACACATTGTGCAAGAGCGCAGAAGCGTGGTCATCACATCTACGCGTCTATATAAGGAACGAAACAGGTGGACTTCACAAATCTGGCTGTCGCCTGATGAAGCTAGTTGTAATTACTGGCGAAACGTTGTATTCAGATTGTAAATGTTGTGGCTTGGCTCTTCAACACACCGGTGTGCTGTACTAGTGACAAATTGGCATGTTCTGTTTATCTGACAACCCTTAATAGTTGGCTGTGTCGGGTGGTGGCGGGTTTTCACGACACATTTATATATTTACGCGATCTAACCCAAAAAAACCTCTTATGGCTATTGGTCACGAAAGCCTCCTGCGTGTTAAACTATTACTGCTTTATATTCTTGGTTCTTTCGGTAAAGTCACGTAGAAGGAAAACAATAATATAATAAAAAACATAATAATTAAAAATATATATTTGTCCTTCCCCTAAAAATATATTTTTTATTATTATGGGTCTTAATTGATTGTTAACGCTTACGGTGGCTTTCAGACCGCATCCATTATTTTCGTCTCCCCCCTCCTCTTTTCCGAACATAGATGGACTCGCCCATCTGAACAAACTGTCAAATCGCTCTCCGTGGTGCTAACGTTAAAAATAACCGCCACTCTTTTCAAATTTTCTTGCTGTGGTGTTCACACCTGATGATGATTGCTTGTGTTGAAGTCGAAACGTCGTGAGAATTGTATTGTTTTATTTTTTATTATTATTTTATTGTTTCCCTTCTACATGACTTTACCGAAAGAACCAAGAATATGAATCCCTGCAGTCAAGAAAGCTTTAAATCAAGATGTAATACTGCTTTTTTGTTGTCCTTCCCCTGCACCTCCGATTAGCACGGTTCACTGTGTACGGTGCGACACAAGTTCAATATACACACTTAAAAATATATTGTTGGGTTTTTGTGTTTGCCAATGCAGGACGTGAACCTATTCAACACGAGGTCGGAGTGCCCACGGGCTTGTGTTTTCTACAACACCACGACTGGGTCTGAGGGTCAAAGTAAGGCGTTACAAACAGTCCCTTGATCCGGATACCGGATGCGCAGGTAAGTTCGGGGCATTCCGACAGCCGCAGTGTTGTTACCTCGCCTGTTCCTGAGAAGCCCGGCCCACAAAGCAGACCTGCCAGTCCGACCAGATACAGCACAGTGCGTGTGGGCATGACCTCTCCCGAATCAATTTGTCTAAAGGTGTGTGCAGCCCGGATACCCAGCGTAATTCTTTGAACTTTTGTATGTACCTGAATAGAGTTGTATAGGTACCCGGGGGTACAGGAACATAGTGTAGCTCTGTGGACTATCTCATGTATCTACGTACAGGTGTATGGGTACTAGAACCCAGGCACTGAGGTGAGTTATACGCCCTGTGCAAATGCATTATGCCACTCCTGACAGAACTCGTCTTAAAGGTTCGACCAATTTTAACCTCATACCCACGCATGAGTTGTGGCTGTAATTTTAACAATATAGTCATCTAACCTGTGGCGAAGGCGTTTTCAATAATCGAAATATATGAAAGAGTGATCGCATCACGTACATGGAGCATGGTGGAAATGTTATTTTTAATTCACAAAGAATGTCGTGCCGCTCCCCACCCACCCTCCACCCCAGCCACGTATCTTGCGCAAGGCGATAACAGAGGGAGGCGCGGGAGGGGAACAGAGGAGGAAGAGATGGAGAGGAGTGGAGAGGAGTCGGGAGAGAGTGAAATGGTGTGAAACGGAGAGAGGCAAAGCGACAAGCAGTGGGAGTGAGGATTAGGGAGAGGCAAGAGACATTGAGATGGGAACGGGAGAGGTGGGAATGAGGAGAGCAACGATGAGAGGTGAGGAAGAGCGAAAAAGGTAGGAGAAAGAGAGCAGGGAGGGAAGTGGGTGAGACAGTGGAGGGAGGAAAATAATTTAGAGGGAGAGATAGAAGAGAGGGCATAGGAAGAGAGAAGCTGATAGACACAGAGACAACGTGAGAAATCTAGATACATTGTGGATTACAGTACAGAGGGGGCAGAGGAAGAGAGAAGCTGATAGAGACAGAGACAACGTGAGAAATCTAGATACATTGTGGATTACAGTACAGAGAAGGCACC